CTTCCAAATGTCGGAGCAATACTAGCATTTTAACATTTGATTGTATGGTAAAATACATTTGTTAAAAAAATATGAAGGATGATTTATTCTAAAATATTGTGAAATCCTTAGAATAAATAAACCAGCAAATACTACTTAACCCAACCCCAATCGGTAATAGGCTGCAAAATAAGATAAAAGTTATTAGAATAATCCTTTTATTGAAAGAGAAAATTTGATAAGTTGTGCTGATTGACTCTGAGGCCCTCCTAGGGACATGTGAAATGAAGAATAAACTGAACTTGATCTAGTCCGAAAAGCCTGAAGAAATCCGCACAGCTGGAACATCACCACTAATTACATTTTTATTTTTTGGATATATTTTACCAACTCTTCATTCATTTACAGTGATTTTACAGCATTAATTCCTTAACAAAACTAAAATGCTTATCTGTAAAGTAGATGTTTTTATGCATTTGATTTTACCAGTAATAAATTTCATTTGCAGTGAAGTACTGTGCTTGAAACACAATAACTTATACAAATATGCTGTGTTAAACAACATAGCATTTTGTTAATTTCTTGCTGAATCAGTACAGATTTCTTACTCCTTGGGCACTTTTTTCTCCATTATTTCATCTCAGCTTTACTATCCTTCTCCAAACTATTTGTCCACCTTGAGTCTCTTCCTATCCTATTTTCTCAGTTTAGCTTTCACTCAATTCTTCATTAGTCCCTATCTCTTTTTCAAGTCATACCAGTTTCCAAACTTCCATATCTCAGTGTCAACCCACAATATATTTGCCTTTGTGCTTACATTAAATGCTATGAGTGAGTTGTTTTAGGAACAAATGTTTGAAGTATTTTACTGAGAACCAAAAAATCATCAGGATGCATTACAAAGAGCCATTAAAATTATAGAAAGACATTAATCGATGGAGTATTTTTTGAGCCAGGCATTATCTCTTGCTTTCAAATCCTGGCAATATCAACGTGCTTCATTTTGATTGGTGACTAGTCTAAACTTACCCTACTTGCATTTGGGAACACAGACAACAGACTGGCTACCACTATTCATCTGTTATTGTTTAAATAGCTGCCACACCTTCCATAGTGTCTGTTGCCATGTTATCTCATGAAGAACAAAATAGAATGACAACACACCAAGTGTGAAAATGTGAAAAATGTTACTTGTATTTGGCCCAAACCTGCTGTTGTTCACAGATAAAATCTAGTTTGATCAAAAACAGGTTACTTTTTGAAACTGAGGAGCAATTGATTTAATGGATGTGGCATCTGCAAATATTTTAAAGATACGTGTTGATTTCAGACTTGCCTGTTATGGTGATTTAGTTCCAGTGTCACGATACAGATTCATCTCTGCTCTGACACTGTAGAGATTTCAATAATAGTTTGTCCAGTCCTTGTTTTTCTGTTAATTTATAACATCTTGGTGGTCAGCACAAGCCAAGACAGGCCTGGCCACTTCTTTGTTCTACCTTGTTCTTTCTTTTCATCTCTTTATACTGTTCTGCTCCCAGCTCTGACAATGGAGTTGTAGATTGAACCTATTTCTCCTCTTACCCCAACTTTTCTTTGAATGCTTCCTTTGATGTATTCAGACTAAAAATGCCAGATCTCTGTCTCCCAGCAAGGGCTTATGGTTTTTGCAGCGTTGCTCCACTAGCAGGTTGAGGACCGTTAGTAGTTCCTTTGCAACAGTTCAAAAGATGCTATGTTAATGATTATTTGGAAACAAAGATGGAACACTGTGTTGAGAAAAGGGAACTTAGGCAGGAATGGAAGATTTTTAAATGCTTCAATGGCAAGAGGTCACATTATTATTGCTACTAAGATATGTGGCTTTGTTTTAATTGGCCATGTTTACAATGTGCTTTTTCTTAAAAATGCATTTTTTCAAGATTCCCTCAATCATTGCTTATCTCACATCCACAAATATTCATGCTTCCTGTGTATAATATGTACATTTGCTCTGTTTCAAACATACTCACACTCAAAGTTTATTTCACATGGGACATCAGGAAAACAAAGCCACATTAGTCTGACATTTTTTTCTGAGTCTAAGTTTCATTAAAATAAGTTCACAGTAAGTTCAACTCTCTAGTCTTCCCCTTCAGTGTAAATTTGTTTCTGTTATTTATTATAATAGAAGAGTTTGGATTTTGAGTTCATTCTATTATCCATAACTTTAATCTTTTGGAGTTATTTTGCCTATTGAAAAATGGTGCCAGACCTTGTTGAGAAAACCATTACAAATATGTTGTGAGCATGCCTAAAATACAGTAAAAAACATCTATTTATAATTAAAGTACAGCAGAGACTTTAATCTTTTGCCTAAAATCTCAGGTAAGACCTATGTTAGGAGTTTTCTTTATATCAACTATTACATTGAAAGAACATAGTTTTTAAGCAAAGAACGTTCTATGAATTTTTTTATGTAAGTGAGTTTTATCTAATATGTGTTAAAACATTTTTTCAGCTCAAGGCCTAAAATTTTAGTAAGATTTTAAGTTATTTCAAGAGGGATGAGAGATTTTTGGCCTATTTCTGTGACAAACCTAGAGGCATACTTTCACATTTGTATAATTTATTTCCATGATGCATACTGGTGGTTAAACTCTTTCTTTCTATACCATGCAAGTCAATACTTTCACTGGGACCACTAATATACAGAGAACTTTACTTAAAAACTCAAATGAATAACAAAGAAGAGGTTTGTAACTTTTTTAACATTGTGTATGAAACATTTGTGAAAGCCATATTTACATCAATCAAAAATAATAGTGTGCAGCCTTTATCAGTCTATAATCTAATCATTTTTGCTTAAGTTTTAATTATTTGTTATGAAATATATGTAATGAAAGCATAACAACTCTGACAGCAGTTTGGAAAAAAAAAAAAAGATAATTATTCTTCACTCTCTCTGTAAGATATAGGTTCAGTCATCTACAGCCAGTTTTTCTCAACAGTCTTTAGAGATCTGCCTGGAAAATCTGATGAAATATACTTAACAAAATCTTTTTATGGGCTGAAGCTTTCCTTGGTAAACATCAGTTTCTTTCACAAAGCTTACCTTGGTAAACTTTTTACTTAAGACTTCATAAGAAAGTAAAAATTGTTCCACAGATTGTAAAGCATAGAGAATATTAAATGGGCTTTTACTCCTTTTGTAGGCTACTCTCAGCCTAAGCCTATGTGAACTGAGAAGAACAGTTTTCATGATATGATTGGTCATTCCAAACGTAGATCTTTCTATCTGGACAAGTCATCTGAGGCTCCTCTTACACTTAACAGGAACTTCTAGAGGAGGATTTTTCTCCTGTATCCTTCTGATGGTTATAATAGTTTAGATGGATTAGCACCTTAAAACGCTGTTTCTCTCCACTAGCTATAGAAAGAGCCAGGTGGTACAAGCCGAGGAGCCTATTTTGGTATTTCAGTGCCAAAATAGATGTGGATGCACTTTTACACTAGCACCATTAAGTTCTTGGCACAGTGGAGCCAATGAGGAGATGGAGCAAGGAATAAGCAATTAAAAGTGCTTAACAGTGATTTCTTTTGTCTGGAATGTTGATAGAAATTAAATTCTGGGATGAACAGGGATTCTGAGTTATAGTGTGCTTCCTTTTGGCTGCTGAAACACTCTAACCCATTCTTGCAAAAGATTTCAATTTTTCTATATCTAGGCTATTGCCACTCTAGAATATACAGCACCTCACTTCTTTTTATTTCTTTTTAAGAAAATAGTGTCAGGACTTCTATATCATATGTTTCCTAATGTGTATGCTAGAATAAAAAGTGAAGTACAACTATTCCTGTAATTAAATACATTGTGGGAAAAAAAAGAAATTAATATACTTCAAAAAATATGTATAATGTTGATCAAAGCTAAATTAAATAGACTAAGACTGACAAACTTTTATATAGTCAAACAGCTGTGCAGAGTTCTGCATGCATTCTGATGCCACGGAATTGTACATTGCGATATATCAGTGTTTCAATTAATGACTGAGCCATTACTAAGACAAATATGCATAGATATATGTAACTAAATACATGTATAGATAGTTTTCCTTTTTGAAGAATTCAGATTAACATCTGGTGCAAAGAGCTTGACCTAAATTTCTGTATCGTATCAACGGTAGTCTAAAAATATTTCAAAGATTATTAAAAAAAAAGACGTATAATGAAGTCTCTCTCTTTTTTTTTTTTTTTCCCTTCACTTACTTTATAATCCACTCACAGATTATCTATGAAACACTAATCTTAGAAGTCTTCAGACTCGGGGAGTTTTTTCCCATTGTGATGTCACAACTGATCAAATCTGATTGTTATGATGAACCCACTAAGGAGTTGAGCACTAATTGTTAGAACATGTCTGTGTTTAAAAAAAATTAGGCCAATGATTGTAACCATGCTGTTAATATCATTTATTGTTCAGAGCATGTTTCAGCTGTGGGAATCAGGTATACTTTTTTTGATTAAAAATGCCTAGACAGTCTGTAGATTTTCTCTGTTTGCAGAATCTTCTGACCTGTAAACGAAAGTATTGAGTGGGAAGGGTTAATTGTATAGCAAATCTCATATTCAAATCATTTTCTTATATGAAATATATGTCATGCTAGCAAATATTCTATTGTCAGTTCAAATAGAACACAAACTAAAATGAGATAATTGGTAAGGTGCCCATAAAGTCAGCTTGAATATTTTATCACGAGTATATGTGAGATAATATTTGTTTTAAAAAGATTCTATGGCACTGTAAACTCAGTCTCATTAGAGACTGCATTTAAAAGGCTTATAAAGTTACTCATTAATGTTATCTTGTTGTATCTCCACAGCTTTTTCATTAAAGAAAATTCAGCAGAAAGCATTTTCTCCTGATAGCAGGAACCAATTTGCAATAAATGTTCTGGAAACCACTAGGGAAGCCATTACTGAAGTCTAATAAAAACAGACAAGCGTAACTTGTTCTATATTTTTGTTTCAATCACATACAGATGAGACCCCGCTCTCCACACCAACCGCAAGAGACAGCCTTGACAAACTTTCTCTAACTGGGCATGGGCAACCACTACCTCCAGGTTTTCCATCTCCTTTTCTATTCCCTGATGGATTGTCCTCCATAGAGACCCTTCTGACTAACATCCAGGTAGGCCTTTCTGTAGTTCAGCTTAAAGGAGTGGAGAGGAGCCAGTTGTTCAGATTTGTCTAAATTAATACAACCATTTTAGCTTAATCAGTTCATAAGATTATTTGGATCAACTAATTTGCTGAAACTTTCTAGTAATTTGGGATTTAAAGAAGCCGCAACAAATGAATGAATTTAGAAGCTGTCGGTTACAGTACATAAAAAAATAGATTGTGTATTAAACCACAGCAGAGAATTTGATGAAAATGGCATAGGGGTGTTTAATAACATTGGTCTTAAATGCTCTTTTTATTACAGGCTAATGAAATGTATCTTACTATTTAGGTATATCTGATTTACTAAACAGAGAAACATTTCTTAAATAAATAGTTATTTCAAATTGCTGGAGTGCCAAGGTGGAAATGATATTTAAAGCTATTTGAAATGTGTCTCTCATAAAAGCATTCACAAAAAAGCACTTCTTTTATAAGTAAGCTCATTTCACTTAAAGTACTGTCTTCAAAGAATAGACTTCAAAGGGTATTACCAAATTTTCTGCAGATTTCCTATTCAGTAGTCAGAATGTCTATTGTGTGTATAGTACAGCCTGATTCAAATATTGTTCAAGGTATACATTTGTCTAGATGTTAGTGTTTAATATTAGAATGAAGAATTTTTTCCCCACAAATTCAGTGATCATGTGTTCTCCAGATGCAATTTTTGCAACAGTATGTTGCATGAAGAAGCAAAATGTTAGTGCAAGAAATAATGCAGCCATATTGTACTCATTAGATACAACCTTTGTTTGTGCAGCTTCTAACTTCCAATATACTTCTTTTCCTGCAAATATGTCGAGTCAATTCTGTTATATTCAGCAAGCACTATACAACATAGGGCCAAAGCCTCTTTGCTTTGTCTTCCTACGCAAACTCTTTCAACTTTATGGCCCTTTGGACTTGTTTTATGAAAAGTATACAGGATCCCTTTATTAGTGATGTTTTGAGTTCTAACGAGATAAAAGATAAAACACTAAGTTGCTATTTAGAAATAAAGTATTATATCTGCCTGATTCAAAAGAACATAATTGTAAATGTTTTTTTGTTTGTTTATTTGTTTGTGTGGGTTTTTGTTTTAGTAGTTGTAACTTTCGGATCTAATGTAAATTATAAAATGTGGTAATTCTGCAACATTTAGCATTCTTCTAGAAGGCCAGTTGAAATCTATAAAGAATATTTTTTTTCAAAGGTATAAAAAAAGTTAATAAAGTATCTAATGTTTTAGCTGTGCATGCATGTACAGTAAAGTTCCTAGTAATTTTTTTGACAAATGTGTGCAGTCAATGTCTCTAGACAGCAACCTAATGAGCAAGGCATTCAGCATCAACAGGTTAGCTAATCTCGTGATTGAATATGAGAGTGCTACATGACTTCAGGATAAATGACTAGGATTAATTTGCCGAGAATGCATTCAGTGTTGTTTTACAGAAAACATGAACATGAAATTTGGTCATTGCTTTCATTGCTTTTTTTTAAATTATTTTTTAAAACTAATCTTATGTGTTGAAGAGAAAAAATTAGAGCCAAGATCATAAAGAAACTAGAGACTTCTTTTTGCTTTTTTTCATTGTGTTTTTCGACTTACTGTTCCTTATTTTGAGTTTGCACATCATGACAAATCACCTATCAGAGTAAACAGGTTGCGTGTAAAACCCTTTGGATTTTTTCAACGTGTCTCTGTGTCTCACTGTATTATTTCCACAGATTTCTGGGAGTCTTTCCACATACCATCAAGGCATGTTTTTTTGTTGGTTTTTTTTTTCCCCATACATTTAAATCTCTATCAGGACTATATAAAAAAATACTTCACTATATGTACCTATATATATATATTTAGCTAGCTTGATTTTCCTACCTTGATAGAAAATGATAAGTATTCTCTTTAAAACAATAGAGGCTATTATAATAGCCTATGCACAGTGGCAGTTTATCTTATCACTGACATTTAAACAGTGTTTTCCATATTCTGTGGTTATTGTAGTGAAAGGACTATCACAGATGCATAAGTGAACTGTGGCCCAACAGTTTCATAACTGAAGTACAGGTACAAGTTCAAACTTCTTAACAGGATTTGTGAAACATGAAACTTTTGTACTATGGTCACTGCTCGCGATATGGTTTGTGACTTTATTAGGAAATACATAAGTACCACCTGAAATCCACGATGCTTCGGTACATGAGACAGAACTCTTGTCATTGGGTCAATTTTCCTTTATTCTCCTTTAGTCCAGGTACATCTTGCATCCTTTTCAATACAGAGGTTTAAATTACAAAGAAGAGTGGAGCATCAACCTTCCTCACCATTCTCTTGTTCCAGCCACACTAAGAATAGGTTACTAGCAATGGAGCAGATCTAACTTTCTAGAAAAGATCATTTTGCCTACAGTTTGTTCCCTGCCTCTGATGTTAAGGTTCTTTTGAATAAGAAAACAGCAAAAATCTAGCCAAGGTCTAGATGAATGATTTTGCTGTTCTCTTTTTCCAAGCATCACACATGACCAAAATGCAGACATATCACAGGACAAATGTAAGTCTGTCTATGAAATGCAAATGAAATGTACCTTCATTAGGTCACAGAATTGGGGTACATACGTGACCTGCCACATGCTGTGGTGGAGAATGTCTATATTTCAGAAATATGAAGGTCATATTACTACATAGGCAAGCAACCTCAGGCTACACAAATCTGTGAGGATGTGATGGTGTTATGATCTACTGTACTGACTCAGTTGTGTGCATAATATAGAAACTGGGTGCCTTTGGAAGAAAATATGTCAAGTCTGTCCTGGTTTAAAATAGAACAAAGTCAGGGTATCTATGGGCAATAGAAACTCTAATATTGAACTTCGTCAGAGTGAGGAGGAGCCATGGGGACAGTGCTTTTGAGTTAAGTAGAAAATTACTGAACACTTTAGATATTTGAAAACTGTGTGCAAAATGTTGTGCAGGTCTTGATGAATTTAGGTAATGCCGGTCAATTTAACTTGCGTAACTCTGCTTACTTCCTTTAAAATTGTCTACTAAACACTAAGCAAGTCTTCCATGTGTATTAAATCTAAGTGAATAAACCTTAGTCCATTGGTGTCCAACCTTTTGGCTTGCCTGGGCCTCACTGTGTGAAGAGGAATTGTCTTGGGCCACGTACACATAGGTCGCTCAAAAAAGTAATGCCTCCTAATTATTTTCATGGAAACTACAATAGATACAATGAGCACTGTACCTCTGTTTGATAGAACAAATTCCCAGCTACAAAACACTGCTTTTCAACATAGTTACACCATTAGCTATGCATTTCTAGCAGTAATGAACATTAGCCTGCATGTCATGCTCATCAAAACCTGCACCAGCAGAGGTGACCCACTGTCACTTGTTGCTACTCCTGAAACACACCACCTAACACTTCTCTGTGCTCACATCCACTGTTTGGTCTCCATAAACATTCAGCAAGAGTTAATCATCATGTGAGTGGGTGCCTTTTTTCTGTAAGGAAGAGTTCAGTGACACCCCTTCGCTTCATATGCACTTCCATATCAGATGCCATTTTATAAGTCTGCCCCTCTGCTGCTGTCTGTCACACAGCAACAACATGTAACAGAATATTAGTGGGAAGGTTCAACCTCTACTGCCAATACCAACACCTGCCTCTGATGTTGTAGGCCAACATAATAACACAGGAGAAATTACTTTTGGAGCAGCCTTCGTTAAGTGTATAATATTGTTAATGTATGTAAGTAACAAAACGTATTTTAATTGTTAATATTTTTATTAAAACAGTAATTAAAAAGAGCAAAAAAAACCATAAAACTAGTGGGATATGTGACCAGTTTTTGTGAAACTAATGCATCAGTCTGATTCGATGGCAGTGGTTCCAGTTCTTAGTGAGTTTTCAAGGTGTGCATTAGAGATCTTTTATGAAATTTTACTCTTCAGTGCTTTGTTCTTGACAATAATTGTTCACAGATATACGAATTGTACAAAAGAAATGACAGGAATAAGGCATAACTGTGAAGTGAGGGATATTTTTCTCTTATAAAAGTCTAGTAAAGAGACATGATCAGATTTTTTCGTTGAATATCTCATTGCAAATCTATACTTCAAAAATGTATTGTCGAATGAAAACAGAGTTGCAAAAGTACCAAAAAATCAGTGATTTTTCTGGCAATCTTGAAACCTATTCTCAAATTCTTTTACCATAACAGTAAGCAAGGTTACTTTTTTTTTGCTTTTCACAAAAACCGTGTTTAGCCATTATATCAAAATACATACAATTTTTTGCCATACCTTGAGCTGGCACTGCACTGTGCCCTCCTCCCTGTGCCCTGGTATCAGCTCAGACAGTGCTAATAGCTCACTGACGGATTGTTGTTGCCAAGATATGGATGCATGCCCAGGCCAGGCAGGGCTGTTCAGTGGGACAGATCCGCCACCATGATGGCATGGGTCAGGGGACGGCCGCAGGATGGGATGGGATGGGCTATGGGTTAAAACAACAACAACAACAACAACAACAACAACAACAACAACAACAACAACAACAACAACAACAAAAGAGATAAAACCAGTAACAACAAAAAGGACATACAGAATGTGTGCACAATACATTTGCAACCACCTGCCCAGCTGGTTCCCAAGCAGTGGCAGCCCCCGCAGCCAACTCCCCCAGTTTTGTTGTTCAGCATGACATCACATCACAGAATATGGATTATCCCTTTGGCCAGTTTAGGTCCGCTGTTGTAGTCTTGTTTCCTCCCAGTTCCTTGTGCCCCTTCCTGCTTCCACTTAGGGAGGCAGTACCTGAAGCTGAAAATTCCTTCACTCTGTGTGTAGGCATTGCTCTGCAACAACTAAAATGTCAGTGTGTTATCAATATCTCTAAATCCAAAACACAACATCACAGTTGCTATGCTCAAGAAAATTAACTCTATCCCAGCTGAAACCAGTATTTGGTAAATATTTATTGACAAA